AATTTAATGAGGTTTGATTGATCAATTACACAAAAAAAATATATGTATATATGTCTTGGAAAATAATTTTTTCTCTTATTAAAATTATTTTTCAATTTGTCCCATATTGGAAAATTACAAAATTTGTTTTGACTTTTTAAATAGGAGCTTATTTACATTCCTTAATAATAAAGAGGAGAGTATAGAGGCTTGCTACTGTACAACACGCGCATGTGTATGCAACGTAATGAGGCGTACTTTACTCGTACCTGCGTGATTCACAATTCTTCAACAATAAACTTAATAAATCTGAATGGAAACAAATAACATTTTAAAGACAATTTCTTTAGACACACTTAAAGCTTCTCCTCCAAATTTTCATGACCACATGTTTCCAACAAATCCAACATTTAATCCTGTCTTGTCGTTAATTGACTCCAATATCTACAAAACAACCCATACATTCTATTAAACATTTGAGTCACCTACAATAGAATTTCATTCCTGAGTGATGGGGAGGGAATGACAATTTGAATGAAAATAAGATTCTAAAATCCACCCAATCAAATAGTTAGAATCAAAATGGCCGACGTTAAGCAAACGGGTTGTTAAATAGAGACAGTACACAACTCCTTTTATATTAAACACCATATCTCTCTCCATCGGTCCCTGCCAAGCTCTGAAAGCATGTCTTGTTTAGAGATCCCCACTTAAAAAAGCAGGCATGCATATGCATATGGTTATTGGAATTATTACCAATTACATCCAAACATCACCAGGTCCTGTGTTCCGACAAAATCCACTTTAAATCTTATCTTCTCAAATTAGAAGCTGAAAACATGGGTCAATTTTGTACCAAATGGGATGGAATCAACTCTCTTTGGGTATTTTATATATACACTGTCTACTATGGAATTTAGCTTCCAAACCATCGCCTGGTGTGATGGTGCATAACAATCTTGTACATTGTGTAGCTGTCCACATGGCTTGTTGTTCACGGAGCCATGTCCATTGCAACCATACGTAAATTCATCCTAGTAATGATTTTTTTCTGCACCATAATAGATCTTGGACTGTTCGCATTAGGGCATGTTGGTTAGAGCTTAGAGGGAAAATCCTATCCTTTACATTCCATCACTCATGATGAATGGAGTCCGGATCAAGATTGGCTTCAGTCAGTGCATGACCTGTTCGAGCACTGTTCAAACGGCTTACAATCTTGGGCATATCTCCGTACCTATGTAATTTATTTGATGGGAGATATTCCCCAGGCCCATTCGAACTAGGCACACCCTTTGTATTAATAAATATTCTGACAGTTGGGGTTAATAATTTGTTTTTAGACCCTATTCTATTTTTGAAAAGTTATTTGTTTGTTGGGAAATAATGATCAGAATATTTATTAATTTTCTTTTATTTTTCAGTTAAATAAATAATGATTATTTTACATATAAAATTTTATTATTAAAAGAGGTAATTATGTCCCATTAAAGTGTTGGTAATTTTCCTTAATGAAAATTTTAATTACCTACCTAAGAGATGGATGGAAAAATAAATTTTTCATAAACCTTACATAAATCTAAAAATCAACGAGAACCAAAATCTTTGTCGCATTATATTATAGTTTTGCTTTGTTGAAACGAAGCAAAAATGGTTGTGGTCTCCTAAAGCGTTTGATAACACTTTTCATACCTCTTAAGTCTGAAAATGTTGCTTTTCAGACGCCACCTATGTTTGGGTTGAATAAGAAAAAAAGATTTGAAATGCATTTTCAAATCTAAAACCTTAAGACCTAGGCCAGTCACTGAACACGGTTGGATGCATTTCAGACATGGCCAAAAGTCTAAAATATCCTCAATATTTTTAATAATGACATATTATACCCCATTTAAACTCGATAGATGCTCATTCAGTTTGTTGCCATCGAACGAGAAGGGAGACAACAATGGAGAACTCGTTGAAAAGAAAATCATCTCTCAATTCCCATTCTTCCTCTCTCTCTCTCTAAGATCAACCACTAGAAAGCTTTGGAGCTAGGGTTGGGTGTAAGGTTTCGCCGTTTGGGGACTAAGGTTCATCAACTCATTGTTTTGTAATTCTATCTAGATTCAAAATCAAGGAAAACTACTGGTAGGGTTTCTTCGTGATGGTGAAGTCACCACAAACTAGCTACAGCACTAACCCTTCCAACAACTTCGACTTTGAGCTCTACGAAGCCATGGTTCAAATCAAGCATAATCTCAGCTATTTCCACGGTATTTATGCCATCATCTTGTTACTCTTAGCAATGAAGCCATAACCTCGACCTCTGCAAAGCCATGGTCTCTCTCTCCTTTGTCTTCCCACCACTGCTGCAGCTAGAGTAGCAGCGACGGTTAACACCTCTCTCTCTCTTTCTCTCTCTCTCTCTCTCTCTATCTCTCTCTCTCTCTCTCTCGCTATATATATATCTTCTCCACTCTCGGCCATTGTTGTCCTCTCCACCCCATTTTCTACCTTTGCAACTAATGTAAAAAAAAGAACACTATTACAATTGATGTAAAATTAATTATTAATTATTTTAACTTTTATTAATTATTAAATATTTTAATAGTTTTTAATATAATAATTTTCTAATTATTAAATATTTCTACTTGCTTCATAGACTTTATTACTATTTTTATTATTATTTTAATTCTTAATAATTTATCTTTAATTTATAAATTTATATGTACTTTCCAGTTTTATTCTTATTTTAATATATTTTTTTTATTTTTATAATTTTATTTGTATTAATTATTAATTATTAAATATTTTAATAGTTTTAAGATATTAAATTGCTAATTATTAATCTTTTTTCATTGCTTCATGGACTTTATTACTATTTTCATTATTATTTTGAATTTTAATTATTTATTTTGAATTTATAAGTTTATATGTATTTTTTAATTTTATTCTTATTTTAATATATTTTTTAGTTTTTATAAATTTATTTATATTTTTAATATTATTTTTGAATTTAATAATTTATTTTTTATGAAAATAGTGCAAAATGAATAAATTCAAAATTATCAAATAATTTGTTTTAGGATAAAATAACAAAATCAAGAAATTTCAGATGCATTTGATCCAATACAATCAACCTTATCTATTCAAGACATTTTTAATATTTTTTTTAACTTTTGAGATTTTAAATTTATCAAACGCGATCTTAAATTCACTTTCACCTCTTAATTAAATGTGAAACGTGAATGGTTACTTCAAACTCGTATCAAATCCATACATTCCCGTGTTTCGGGCGGGATGATGTGGTCTATTATGATTGAACTAGTATCTACCATGCTCCCAAAATTAGCCACCTGTGTGAATCTCACTTGTTTCATTTCATATCCATCGTGAAATTAAAGATATAGGGATTTGGGCACTTGTCCACTTGAAATGAGATGTGATCAAACAAGGGAACTTTTATTTTTTTTTTCTTTTCCAAAATTTCTAAATGTCAAATGTGAACTGGGATTAATGAACGACTAACATAGAATAGTGGTCGTTGTCCTATAATGTCCAAAAAAATCATAAATAAATCTAGACAAAACTGTGAACACAGAAGGCTAGGGTTTTTGAAACATATAAAAAGAAATCTCCCACTCCCAAATCCCAATGGGATGGATTTATGAACAAATATTTTGAAATTATGAAGAGTGAAGACTGAGAGGAACAAGGACAAAGGAAAAAGTAGAGTCCGGAAATCCTGTAAACAAATATTACCCAACCCAACCACGGTTGGACAATTGATGGAGAGTGAGTGCACAACACCAGTACGGACACGGGTACACTACGCCCTCTCCCACAAAACAACAAGCGACGAGAGTAGAAACAGGAACACCGGTCACCGGTCACCGTCCATTCCCTTGGTACGAACTACCAAGTTCCCTCCGCCAGCCTCCCTCCTATCAGAATCATCAGCTATTGAACTCTCCTCATCAATTAGGCCCTGCCCTCCCCATCCCCAACCCACGCCGCTTCTTCACTTTTACAGTACTTGGGAAATCGCCCTCTTCTCTTTCAGTTTTACTCGGGGGAGACTTTTACCGTGCTACCCTGAAGCCCCCCTCCTGATTCCTGAGTCCAGAATCCACATAGATATAGATAGATAGAACCATAGAAGTTAGAAGTAGAACCCGTCCCAACTGATTACTGATTATCGATGCTGGAAATGAAATCGACCCTAGTCTCACAATACCTCGTTGTTCTGTCTCTCAAAAGTTAGAACGGCGAAGGTTTCCATGTCAGTCAGTCTGTCTCTTTCTTTAACCCCATCGGCTTTTTCCCAAACTCCAATGGACAACACGCACGCTACACCCTGCATTTTCTGCATTTCTCCTCGATCTGAGTCTCTCTACTCAATCTCTTCCCAATTCCCATTCGTTTCTAGCTTTCTCTCAAAACATGAATTTTTTATTTAAATCAACTTGCCACTTGCCAGCATCAACTTACCGTGCATCCATCCAAGCCCAAGTCCAAGAAAACCAACCCCACGCTTACAAAGAACTAAAAATATACAGAGATCTTTGTTTCATCGACTAGAAATTGGTTATAAGTTATAACTTAGGAAAAACAGGGAGGCGCATCTTAGCAACATTATTAGTTAGCGTCTCACTTCACGTGGGACCCTCACCCCTATAACGTCTCTTTTTCAAAATCTAGCAACACGTGCATGCGGGTTAGAAACCAGAGGATCAAAATCTGAAAATAACAAAATATGAGTTGTATGCATACATGTCGTGTATATTTAAAAAAAACTAATTGATTTATATATTTACGTTTCAATTATTCCATATATAATTAAATAATTTATACATTTTTTTTTTTGAAAAAAATGTTTATAATTTTCTTCGTTTACTAGTACAACGCGTTTCCCGATTCTTTTTCTTCATTTTTTTTACCCCAAAGAGCAAAGCAACCAGCCAACCATGAGGAGGCTTCGAAATATGAAATAACAAAAAAAGGGAATCTCCTCCCACGGCAGTTTCCGGTTTACTGTTTATCGGGAAACCGCTATTCATGGCCGCGACACCGACTCTACCAGTTTCCCCATCTTCTCAACGAGCTTCGGTGACAATTTCTTCACTGATTTTCTTTCCTTCTCTGGCCGGAAGTCAAAACCCAGTGCGTCCGTGATCTCCTCACAACTCCAGCCCGCTTTTCTGAGCGAGTCCGAAAACCGGTCTGCTTTCAACAGTAGCGCGTCAAGGAGTGTTTGGCTGTCCAATAATGCAATATCTCCTTCGAAAAAACCGGATGCCGATACCTGTATCATTTCCTCCACGTCCGGTTCGCCCCACCCGCCTTCTCTCAAAACCGTCCCGATCCGCTCCAAGTACCGTTCTACCCATTTCGGCAATTTCGTCCGAAATATCGGGCGGGAAATCTCGAAATACTGCTCCGGTGATGATGGAGACGACGACAATGTATAATTCCTGCGTCGTCGATCAATGGCCGCGTCACTCCAGAATTCGACCCACCTGGGTGTTCTCCCTCCGCTTCCGGTGCCACCACCGGTATCTAAGCTTCTTCTTGAGTAATTCGACGACGATCCGGTGGTCTTCTCGCTAACGGATCGCTGCTTCTTAAGGATGCAAGAGTCATCACATCGGAACACCGACTCGCGTTCGAAGAAATCCGATAGATCCGATCCGCAACAAAAGATTCGGTTCTCGTCCACGAAGAAAATAGGGTTTCCAGCCAGAGGAGGATTACAGGGGATGTAGCAGTGATTGAAGAGAGGGATCAAAAGGGGCGCCCTCTTTAGAGCGTTTCGAGCGATACGCAGCGCCTTTTCAGGGTTGGACGGTCGTGGACCCCAAGATTTCGGCCAGAGAGCATTACGTGCAATCTGGAAGGAAATCGCGGCAATGGGTAGGTCGAGCAAAGCGCGGAGATGGAGGCGAGAACCAGCTCCAGCACGCCAGTCGGGGAAACCAGGCCCGACGGGAAGGCCGGCGGAGAGAACGGCTTGGAGGTCGGGAGGGAAGGCGAAGCCGAACTCGGCCTCGGTGCGGGCGAACTCGACATCAGAGAGGCCTTCTTCCACTGGTATGCCGGAGTTGCGAAGGTGAGAAATGACCGTATCGGCAAGGGAAGAGAAAGAAAGCAGCCCATGCCGTACTGGGATAGTTGAGGTGGTGGCAGTCGGGGCTGCGGCCGCTCGAGCGGAGAGACGACGTAAGCCGGCTACATGGGCCGGGTTCAATCCGGTCATCCTACGGTCCACGTCGACCATGGTGGTCGGAGAAACTACGACGGTTGTGCCAGGAAAACTTAGGCGGTTACCGGAAACGTCAGAGAAAATCAAAATGCGACGGTTCGAGTATTCGAGTGCGTGCGCGACTGTGTAAGTTTTTCTCTGTTTTTCTTCAGTTTTGTGGAAGAACAAAGTGTGTTGGGAGGGGTGTTTCGTTTTATAGCTGCGGAAGTGGGACCTACTTGAGATTTGGCATGTTTAGTTGCAAGTAGCTTACTTGGGTTGGGAGTTAGGACTTTGAAGTGTGATTATTTTGATTCTTAATTTCAAAAAAAAAAAAAAAAAAAATCCGGAGTTCCAAATTAATGGCAACTACGTCAACGTCACCATCCGGTGGGACCCAATCTCTACAGCCTACGATAATAGAATAGAGAAACCCCCACCCCCCTCCACCTTTCGGCCGAACCAGTTCATTTTCATTGTATGTGCCTATGTGGAGATGAGAAGAACAGATGGTGAGATACTAGGATTTAATAATATAATCCTGTCGACGCTTTTAGTTTTAGTGGGAAGCGTGTGTTGCGATGCAGTGATGATGGAAAAGAGAAGCATTTGGCAATGGCAAATTGGCTGGAAAGGGTGGGTCCCTCTGTGAATGACCTGACCAATCGTCCTTTCGATCTACACAGACTACAGTAAGCTCCCCAAATCCCATAAACATTACACGGTTGATGAATGATGATGAGATCGTTCGGTTTATACGAACGAAGTTGACAGCTTGTTTAGTTGGGTTAGACTCAAGAGAGAGATCGATAACGTTAAATGTGAAAGCAACTTCTCAGGGATCAATAACACACACAGAGAGAAAGAGAGAGAGAAGAGAGGTTGAATGTTTGAATGATAGGAAGGGTGGAGTAATTCCTGAGGGATTTGAGTGGCAATAAAGTCAAAGTCGGTGGGTATACCGCGCGGGTCCGTGTATTATGTAGTGTGTACAAACTCAAAAAAAAATAGAAAGAAAAGCGGGGAGGTGAAGGTGGCAAACAAGTCTGAACTGTGAACTGTGAACGAATGGCCGGCATTTATTTTTCAACCTCTTCTTTGTTTTTTTACCTTGTTGGGTTCATGGATTAAACGGGAGGGAGGCGTATGCACACGTCGGTGCATTACAGGGAGGAGCGTTTCCTGGGATCCCGACTTCTTACAAGAAAACAAATTGTTAAATCCAAGGAGAACCTTTCCGTTCCTCCTTTCCTTTTACAAAATTCTTTGATAAGATTAGTATAAAACGAACTGCTGCTTCTTCTAACTGTTTGAAATAACAGTCAAAAGGAAATAAAAATAATAGCTAATTAATACCAAATAGAGGTGCCCGACCTGATCAAGTTCAATGCTCTCTCATTTACGACGGCAGTACACTCACTTAGGAAAACAGTATGTTTAATTTTCAGCTCTTTCAATGTACTAACTAGCTAGTAGTTTCTTCTTGAAGAGTGCTGGGATTCCCCTCCCATCTCATCCGTTAAACCGCCCCCCCGTGATGTTTTATTTTGTAATAGTTCTAGTTTGTTTTTCTCTTTTCTTGGTTAGTTTTATTTCTTTTCTCCTTTGTTTCTACTCTGTTTTGTTGTCTGTAATCTGTTCTGTGTTATTTACCAAAAAAAAAAAAAAACTAGCAAGTAGCAATACATATTAGATCCATTATTTGCTCTTCATTTGTGCCTGCATTAGAGCAGATAAGGTCTCCATTTGGTATTGTTTCAAATGTAAAATGGGTGAAAATTTTTCAACGCAGATGATATAGAAGAGAGTGCAAATGAACATGGGCATGATTCCCCACTTGCCCCAAAGACAGAAAATTTGAAAAACTCAAGGGGGGACTAAGGAAGGGATCTTGATTTGACTATAGGGTTTAGGGGGTGAAGCTAACATGTGGGCTGCTCTTGAATTTCGTTCCTCATTCAACAAATTATGATTTTTATAAGGGGGTCGTAGCACCAATTATAACCTATTAAGCTTATAATCATTTGGTCGGTATCATTTTGGGGTCAACCATTTGTCCGTTTCATTACTTCAATACATGGTTGCGATGAATTTTAATAATAAAATACGTAGCTTGTAACAGTGAGAATTTGGGCCTAACTAGCTTTGTTTGTGAAGGCAGGAGGACCACAGTGTCCCCAATTTTCAACGGAGAACAGCTTTGGGTTTGGGAAGAAGCGATTGTTAAGAGAAGTTAACTAGAGGCTACACATTAGCGAGAGTAGAGTTTTGATTTGTATGGCTTTGGCCTTTGGGGAGTGCTTCTGTGTTAACAAATGTCTTGGAAAGGTGATTAAAGGGGTCACCAAAAGGTAGAGGTCTGGGGACCCTTGTGAAGGGATGCGGGTCGACACCATTGGTCAAACAGTAGTGGGCAAGGTGGGGAGAGAGACCTACTTTAGAGAACAAGGAGATCACCCGATGGGGATAAAGGTCCAAGTGGTAGTGCTGGGCAAACCCTTTGTTTCCTTGTCTTGTTTCGGCACTTCAAAGTTCAAACCCCTACAAATTTGTTTTAATTTCAAAAGACATGCATTAGTCAATCTTCTCTATCTTGCTCTTATCACACTGGTCCTGATCCGACCATATCTGTCTCTGTCTGTGTGTGGGTGTTGGTGAGAGAGAGAGAGAGAGAGAGAGAGAGAGAATCATTTAAGCATCCCTAGTTTTGATTTGATCCCCTGTAATCCAACTTTTGTGGTATAAAGAAGTCATACTGCTTTCAAAAGAAAGTGGGAGCCTTCTTGTAGTGCAGTTAGATTGTCAAATACCCAATCCCAACTGGCCCGGCCGGAATTGGAACCCCTTTCAGAAATGAGAATTAGCTTCAGCTTTCTGCACTAGACTGCGAAAGAAGAGTGGATGATCCAACTCCATCCTTTTGTAAAAGAAAACAAAATCCTGATCCACTATTTTTTTTTTCTATCTTGATCAAGGTCATTATAGGGCCAGTCTGGAAATAAATAGTTTCATTTAACCAACTTTGTAATTGTAATCAGACAGCTGCCAAGCAAAATCCAATTCATTGGGCCCAAAACCAACCCATATCAAAAGAATACCAGACAGAGAGGATTGTTTACAATAATTTGATTAAACCAGCTTAACAAGTTAAGATCCAGGAAATTTCTAATGTGGGTACCATTACTTGGTTATCCAATTGTCTTCACCTAATTAATTATATATTCCTCTTCTTCCCACATATTAATTTGTCTCTAAAGAAGACAATTCAAGTCATGTTCAATACAAAGTGGGAATGCATGATTAAGAGGAATTGAACCGTTTTGTAGGGTAAAAGTCTAAGTATATAATTTATTTTAAACACTCGTAGTGGTGGATTAAGGCAGGGATTAAGTGAAGATAAAATTAATCCAAGAAGGATACACCCCATGTGCCTCTTCACTCCTATGGAAACAAAAAAACATTTTAAAGTATGAGCTCTCTTCTTCTGCTGCTTCTTTTTAGGGGTTGTTAGGCTTTAGATTCATAGGTAGTAGGGAATAATAGGTCGTTAAAGCCTATAAATTAAAGTGGTTTTTGTAAGGGAGAGGTAGTATTGCTTAATTATTTAAGCCTAATATTCACAAGTTAAACCATTATAGGAATAAAATAATTAATAAAGAAGAGTTTGTTGCCTTGTTTGATAATTTGAGAGAGAGAGAGAGAGAAGGTTCCTCTACCAAGGTAGTAGCTAGCCTCTGCTTAGTAGTTGAAACGTATCCCTTCACTTCAAATTTGCCAAGCCAACTAAAAATTCAGCCCCACTAGACTCAACTTGTTGCAATAGATTCATTTAACTACTGTGAATCATAACGTTGTTTGTAGTCATGTCTTTCTCATTCTCTACTTTCTTTTGCTTAAAAATTGTAACTAAACGATGGGCATTTGTTGTCACCTCACCTGTGTAATCAAGTTGATTAGTGTATCTGGTGTATGCTTTTCAATAACTTATAATAGTTGTGTAAAGTAACAATAATGTTCGAGTGACTCCCGTGTGGTGACCATAGCTTTTTTTTTTCTGATTTGATGATTACTTGTGTCTTTCAAGTAAAGATAGATGATGGAGGTAAAGCCTAAAGGTGGCGGTACACACAACTCAACTACACATGTAGATGGGCATCTCTTTCTTTTGTTTAGGCGTGGGTGTGATAGTGAGTGGTGGAATAAAGGGTTATAGATGTGCAATTTACTTGCTTCTTTGATTCTTTCTCATTAGAACATCAATATCAAAGGCAGCGGAAATCCCGTGTGGTGCACGGGATACTATAGTGAAGGAAAAAAAAGTCACAAAAAAAGGTTAGGGAACAATGTTGGGGCAAGTTGTACCCTGATTGGGGGTGTTGCTTTTAATGGATCCTTTTTCTTTTGATGGGCTCTTTTCATGGATCAGTCAGGCCATAGCCCTAGTGGTAGTGGGTTCCATCGCCTACATGAATTTGAATCGAATGCATGTAAGTGAAATCTCATCCTGTTATTATCATCAGGATCAGGAGAGGGCATATTTGAAAAGAAAATTATTAATTTGAGGACAAGATTAGAAATCCCACATTGTTGGGACTTGGGAAGACAGGTTTTGGATTCGGGGCTTTGGGCTTTTGCTTATACCCAAGTTTGGCATGCCGCATCTGAGTTGGGGGGAGCCATCTGTTTCTAATTTATTTAACCTTTTGCCATGTGGCAAGTTTTCACCTTAATTGTGCAGAATGGAATACTAATTGGGTCACGGTTTTATCGATTAATTGGGCGATAAACCCATGAAAATTGTGAAAACCGTCACCGGGTCACCGGTCAACCATTTGATCCGGTCCCAGTCTTGCCAGTTGCCACACTGACATCTGCACAAAATTATTCCCATATTTTTTCAGAGGAAGGCGGGCTGAGTTGAGACCAGGGGTTTTGTTTTAACTTTTAATTGATGGTACTTTCTATTATTGAAAACGAACCATAGACGGCTTTTTATACAACATATGTATACCGATTACCATAAAAGTTGAAGCGCAGGGCAGGCCTGGCCCGGTCGACGTCGTATAACAACAGAGAATCACACTGGTTGCTCCCTTCTCTCTGTTTCGTATGTATATCCCCCATTACTACTTTCAGGGAAGCAGAGAGCAAGAATTCTGATGTCCATTGTCTTTTCATCAGAAAGCAGCTTTAATATGATAACTGACCCAGTGCCCAGAACTTACAGAGAACAACCTGACACGATGGCTATTGAACTTTGACGGAAAGCTCTGCCCTCCATGCCCTAACTTAGT